AATCAAATTCTCAGTTAGGTGGTCCTTTTTCTTACATAGATTGTATCTCAACATGCTCAGCTCATAGACTTCTTCAAATTTGCTGCGAACTCTGCAAAGTGTTCCCCCCCTTACCACTCTAGTAGTTCTTGGACTAATCCAGCTCATTTTATTATTTATTTATATTGTTTTGCCCTGATTTTCTGCCCCCATCAGAACCACCAAGGCGGCGGGCTAAGAGATTCAAATCACACAATAAAAGCATGTCTTAAAACCATACAAATACTCATCATTAAAACAATTAAAACCAAAGCTAAAATATACGTATGCAGAAACATTAAAATTAAAACATAAGGCAGGAGAAGATGGCAACATAAGGGGACAGGCAAGTCTTGTGCACTTCCTTCAACATAGCCACTGAGGCTAGCTCCTCATCCTCTGTACCCAGAGGACTTGGCCTGCCACAGAGAAAGCCCATGGCCCAGATGTTGCTGTTGGGACAGTCCTAAGGAAGGGCACCATTAGGAGAAAGCTGTTCGAGAAATATAGCCGGTGCAGGAGACTATATTGGGGGATGCAGTTTTGATAAGCATGACTGAGGGTCCAAAGCCATGGATGGCTTTAAAAGTAATAACTGGGCTGGGGATGCACTTTTTCTTATTTTAACTCCTGCTGTTTCTTTGCCAGTAGGTATCCAATTCCTGGGTTGGTTCTCTAGTTTTTCAAACAAGATGGACAAAGCCACTTGATCCTCAGCCAATGACTTCTCTATTCCACAGTCCCAAAAGTATGGTGTATACACAGTGTCATATATTTTTCCACCTCTTCCTAATACTGTGACCCTCAGTTTTTGTATAACCTCCAGGTAGGGCCTGGAGGGCTTCCAAAATTATAACCACTCTCCAGGCTACAGAGATCAGTTCTCCTGGAGAATATGGTTGCTTTGGAGGGTGGGCTTCTATGGCATTATACCCCCCTGAAGTCCCTCTCTTTTCCAAACTTTGCCCCCCCCCGACTCTACCATACAATTACCATCAAATCTCCAGGAATTTTCATAGCTGGAATTGGCAACTCTAGTCCAAGCCCATCAATTATTCACCTCAGTGACCTCCTCAGACAGCCCTGACTGGCTTTTCATCTTTGACTGCTTACCAGTGTTGGGCAAAAAAAGTTCTCGCCCCTTTGGGCATAATGTGCTGGTGTTCCAGACTCTCCTTCACAGATGCCTGGGACACACTCATTTAAGAACATAAGAGAAGCCAATGTTGGATCAGGCCAATGACCCATCTAGCCCAACACTCTGTGTCACACAGTGGCCAAAAATACCAGGTGCCATCAGGAGGTCCACCAGTGGGGCCAGGACACTAGAAGCCCTCCCACTGTTGCCCCCCCCCAAGCACCAAGAATACAGTGCAACACTTGTCCCAGACTGAGAGTTCCTATCTATACCTTGTGGCTAATAGCCACTGATGGATCTCTGCTCTATCTAATTCCTTCTTGAAGCCGTCCATGCTTGTAGCCGCCGCCACCTCCTGTGGCAGTGAATTCTTTCAGGAGTGCTATCATTTGCTTCATGTTGTCTACTTCATCAGCTCCCTCTGTTCACACCAGTGTTTGCTTGCTTCACAGTTCTGAGCATGGGAAGAAGCTCTGGGGCAATGCTACAGGCATTTAGGTTTCTTTGGACATGAGAACACTGGTGATTTATCATGTCATGTAATATTTGTAAATTTTGCTTTATTTACAGTTACATAAGCCGAGACTTTTGGAAGCCAAGTTGGCTTCTGAAAACAGGTAGCAGTTTCGCAGAGAGCATCTCCCCCTGCCGCTGCACTCCAAGTAACACTCATGCTAGCCAAGCTCAGAATATGCTAAACCTATAAAAATCCTAGGAGGCTGGGGGAGCACAAATAACCTTTTGCAAGGGTTACGTGTAACTCTCTGGGAGTTGCAAGGAACCTAAAATGGCAAGGACTTTAAGCATTCCTGCATCCACTTTTAGACACTTGCTGTTGAATGGCATGGATTTGTACTACAATTAAATGGTCCTTGGGAAGATGAGGTGGAATGCCTTCTTTGTGACACTCTATTCATTCTGCAGAGTGGTGAGTTGCATTCCATTGTGATATGTGGCCTGGTTCACTTGTCTGAGTAATCTCACACTACTTGCTCTTCAAAGACCCTGCCTTGGGATTGTGGCATCCTGTCTGATCTGCATTCTGGTGCTATGTGTAGACGTGGGTATGTGAATGGCACTACTTCACGGCAAGCAGTTAAACCAGGGAGTAACTTTTCAGTCCTCCCAGCTCTGTGATGGGAATGTAACTTTAGGTCCTAAAATGGTTTGATTTATTTTTATTTTAAAATTTTCTAGACTGCCTTCTCCCACTGTTATAGGACTACAGCAGCACCAGTGGCTTATTGCTTGTAATGTGTTACTTTGTTATTTCTTCTTATTTATTTACTTCATTTATACCCTGCTATTCTCCACAATGGGGACCAAAATCAACTTACTTCATTCTCCTCACCTCCATTTTATCCTCACAACAACCCTGTGAGGTAGGATAAGCCGCAAACGTGTGACCGGCCCAAGGTCGCCAAGCTTTCATGGCAGAGTGGGAATTCAAACCCACATCTCCCAGATCCTAGTTCAGCGCTCTAACCACTATATCACACTGGCTCTCTAAAATCACACTCATTTGCCATCGAGAGGCATTGAGACAAGCATTTTCTGTGCCAAAGTGCAATTCAGCACATAATATTTACCTTGTCAGAATGATCCTCAAGAAGTTCAGTGGAGATACTCATGGGGTTTGGTTTTGCCAATGTATTGATTTTCCCTGTCGATTTTAACTGAGGTAAAACCTGCCATGATGAAATTGTCTCAGCATTTCTTCCTTAGCCTATTAGTGCAGAACTAAGCAATATCCCATAGGTGGCAGCAGAGATCAAGATGATTGTATGTATTTCTAGAATTTGCTATTCTTACACAAAGGCCAAGGCTGCACCACTACCAGGTTGCTAAGAGTGTAACAAAACCTCCTGCATGCTCTTGTGTGTAGATCACTGTAATAACCCCATGTGTGGTTTTGTTTTTATTTCACATGCACCTGCAGGCAGCTGTGATTGGTCATGTCTTCTGAGTATACTGACATATATAAAATGAAGTAAACACGTTCACTTGTGAGATATGACAATCAATACACAAGTTTCACATCATGTTCAAAATGGCTCTTTTTGCTGTTCAGATCACGATACCTACAGCTCCAAACTCCCTGAAGTGCAATGAGCAGATGAAACAGTTGCTATTTTCAAACTGGCCGAGTAGCATTACAGAGATGGCTAATGGGGCCAAAGTACAGAGTGTACACTTAACAGTAGCAGACCTGTGACTGCCCCATGTGTGAAGCAGGAGATGGAACTGTTTAAAACCTACGAAGTCATATGGGTAGAGGTTAGGGAAATATGGAATGGATGGTGGCATGGGGTGGAGTTGTAGGTAGGGTAGTATCCAGCACAGGGCTACCAGCCTCCAAGTGGGGCTTGGAGTTCTCCCAGAATTACAACTGATCTTCAGACCACAGAGATATCACATGGAGATAAAAGCAGCTTCAGAGTGCAGCCTCTATGGCATCACATCCCTAACAAGCTCCTTCCCCTCCCCAAATTCTACCCCCAGATATCCGGGAATTTCCCAACTTGTGGTTAGCAACCACAGTCCAGCATGCTCTTCCCACCACATTCCTTTTATGCTTCAGTCACAGGTGCAACCCGTTCCTTTCAACATCACGGGCAAATGCAGGTTTCCAAGACAGGAGTGTTGTTTGTGTCTATTGATATCAATAGCACTGAAGTTTACGGAAAACAAACAAATGATTTAATGCATATGGTGCAAGTTGCTATTTCCAAGGTCAATGAATTCAACAGATTTGTTCTGAAACCAGACAGACAGCCCACTTGGATGTCTTTCCCCTACTCTAGTCTACCTACCAGTTTACACATGAGTGCACAGAAATTTCCCCGGGAGAGACTGGGAACGGGCATCAGTCTTGTATGTTCACTCACATAATCATATGCAATGTGTGTGCACTATCACTGAGTTCCTCTCACCACAGAGAAAAGCAAATAGCTGAATGGGAAAGGCTTTTGTTACATTTCTTGAACACAAGATCACCCCTAGAAGACGAAACCCTCTTTAAAGACCAATATCTGCAGTCTTGTTTTCTGGTTGCACAAGTCCTCTCTCTAGGCTTGTCTGTACTAATATTTTAGAGGTCTCGTTGGGTGTTTTCCATTCACTCACATACACAGACGAAAGGAAGTAATTCTTCACACAACACAAAGAATTACTAGTACTGCAAAATACGGCGATGGCCACCAGCTTAGATGGCTTGTTAAAATGATTGGACAGATGGACCATGATGGCCTTCTTTGGAGTTGCAGAAATCATGTTACAAAGGGCTGCGGGGGAGGGGGGGGAAATGGATGCAATGTATTAATTTTAACTGTTCGGTTTTAATTTGTATTATGTATGTTTTTATCATGTATTTATGTCATTGGAAGCTGCCCTGAGCCTGCTTTGCGGGGAGGGCGGGGTATAAATCGGACAATAAATAAATTAAATGGATGTCCATGATGTAGTGGCTACTGCAGGAGGTTGTGATCACTTTAGAAAAGTCTTTGACAGGTCGGGAAATGGAAAAATCTGCCTCTTTGATCGGTTTGATTTGGATCCTTGATTATTTTATCCTGCTGCCTTCTCTCTCTTCTGTCTCTCTTTCGTAAGCTGAGCAGCCAGCTCCGGTGCAACTCACTGCTTGGGGGTTTCTTTTTCTCTCTTCTGTGGCAGCCGCATTCTGAGTCACTGGACGGCGGCTGATCAGAGATGACATGACTGCCTGACCTCTCCCCTCCCCCTTCCCCCGCTTCTTTCTCTCTCCCCTTTCCAGCTAGTCTCATGATCGCTCTCGCTCTCTCTCTCCTCCCCCCCCCCCCCCCCCCCCCCCCCCGCATCCTGGCAGAGCCATGTGAATCTGCAGGCCAGTAGCGTCCTGGGAGTGGGTGGCGGCGAGGCGAGCCGGTTCCAGGCGGAGATGCTCCAGCTAGACCTGATCGATGCTACCGGGGAGACCCCCGCCGAAGAAGGGACAGCACTGGAGCCCATCAAGAAAGAGCTCCCGCCTGTAACCATGGATACCTATCGACCCAAGCGGCCCACCACACTCAATCTCTTCCCACAGGTGCCTCGGACGCAGGTGAGCCTCAGGGGAAGGGGAGGCTGCCGTTCCGTGGATCGGGGCCCTCCTTCTGTTGCTACGACAAACGGCTGTTCTGTGCTTCCATAAGAAAAGGGAGGGTTGATGGTTTTAGCCTCTCCCCACCCCAGAGTTTTTGCAAAATAAATAAAATCTCCCACTGATTCTCAAGCGCAGATTTCCAACCTCCAGGTGTGTCTCCCCATAAACTGCTTCCCTTGTGGCTGATAACATCTTTCCGTTGCTGGGATTGGTTGTCAACGACCCTGTAATAAAGGGGAGGTTTGGAAGCTGCTCTTCTTGCTGGAGTTGCACATGCTCTGGTCCTGCAAAATGAAGGGTTTAGTAGCAGCTAAGCCCTTGGGGCTCGTTGTGGTGACTGGTGTGTGTTTTAGTGCCTAATTTTTTAAAAATTGAAAGGTCCTGGGGCCCAGGCATTCCTAGAAGGCTTACTTTTTACCTGGAAGCTCTGGTCCATGATCCAAGATGCATGGAGGTGACTGGGATTGCCCAGGAGTGCAGAGAGTACACTTTGCACATACTCAGAGGTACACATTCCTGCCATACAAAAAGTGTTGTGGAGTGAAAACTGTCATGGCTCAGATTTAGCCTGCCAGTCTGGAGTTCAGTACAGAGTCCTGCCTTAAGACAGGCACAGTTTGTGGAGGAAGAGATGAGACACTCTTGCAGGGGCCAGGGGCCACCCTGGACAAGGTGCCGCCTGTGGTGCTACAAGTCTGGCTCATCCCTTTGTTAAAGGACTGTTGTTTGGAATGACTCTGCTTAACTGGTAAACGGAGGCTCCCTGTTCAGGCATTGTGTGTGTTTTATGTATGTGCAAGGGAGAGCCAGAGCTGTTCCCACTGCTTATGGTCGGAAAGGACCAAACAACTGGAGGACTCCATCCCTTGTCTGCCCTCTTTTACACGTTTTCTCATTTGTGTTAACTTTTTTACTTCAGAAATGCTCATCATGAATACTGTGCCCTCATTGTCAAGCTTATTCTGTGCCTAAATAGTTTTAGGAAGTACACAGCCTTTGTATTCAGGCCATGGTGCTTTTCTGTTGGATGGCTTGTTGCATTGTGCACACTCAGAGAATGGTACCATCTTAACAGAGATGCTGAGCCTGTTCTAGCAGATGGTGGGATTGGTTCTAATCACACCAGAATTGTTTGTATCTAGTGGACCATTACTTGTCAGGAAGGATGTATATATACCCTAAACTAGATCAAGAGCTTTAGTGGAACCCTGAACAGGGGGAAGGAAGTGTGCATAATTTCTTTTCTTGAAGTAAGTATGACAAGAACATCTCTATCTGAAAGAAAGAACTATCTGAAGCATCTAAAGAGATTAGGAAAAAAACCAAAGCATTTGTAGAAGTGACAAGAAATGTGTGAATGGACCATTCACCTTAAGTTAGCTGGAGAGAGATGTGATACTAGTGGATGCTTTTAATTTCCATCTCTGTGTGTGTATGTTATGTTAACTCTTCATCTTGTGGGAGGAGGGTAGATTTCAGCGCTCCATGAGCTAACTGATCACAGGCTGGCCATCTGTAATCCTTTTATCAGCCTCTCTGTTGTTTAGTCTACAAACTGATGAAGTGTCGTCATACATGAGAGGCTATTTTTAATCTGCTGTATGTCTCCACTTACTAAATAAGTAGATTTTTCACAGTGATGTTAGCCAAGGAAAGGGTATTGGAAGGCAGGTGTTGCTCTGTGTGACAGATGGTAGAGACTTGAGGGGGTGAGGGGTGGGAACTTGTGTCATTACGCAATTAACAAGAAGGGCTTTACAGCTGAAGAGCCAAACGGTTTGATGTGTGGGTGGGAGGGGTTGAGAATAAGAGTACAGTTGTGCCTCACGTGATACACAGGAGAATATAGTTGGAAACCCCCAGGTACTGAAATAGTCTCCCAGTGTGGAACAGTGCTTCTGGCTTTACTTCTCCCTGAACTTAGGCATCCCACTGTGTTCATCTCACAATCAGGACTCCAACTTCAGCATCAACAAACAGGTTCATTTTAGAACCACTACAAGTGGTGCTTGCGGCCCCAGCACCAAGGGGAGGGGTGAGGCAGGGGCCAAAGGCAACCCTCCATATCCGACCATATGTTAATCCCATTTACACCTTAGTTGAAATAATACACCCACACTCAAAGTTTCAGAAAAATGTGGAATAAAATTGTCCACACCTTTATTGGTTACAGCTGTAGTCTGCTTTGGCACAGCATGGGGTGCCAGTTCCAATTCATTGACTGACCCACCTGCCACTGGTAACCTTGGGATGACAAATCTCTGGATCCCACAAGGGCGGACACCCCGAGGTGGTCTCCCCTGCCACCTGAGTGTGAGGGTAATCCCCAGGCATGCCCCCGGGCTGGGCATACCACTTGACCCTCACGTCAAGATCCCT